AATCGAGCTCCGCGACAACACGGACACAAATGTTAAAGGCCTCCATCCATGTGGCTAAATCGTGAATGTGGTGTTCATGTGGCTGCGATTCTCCGTAAGTCTCGCTCAGGCTAAACGGGCGAGTGCTATCAGGGCCCCCTTTGTCGGCTACCATCAGCTGGTAGGATTTGCGTTCCGAGCACCTCTGGCAATGAAATAGCAAGGTCGACAAATCACCTCGCGAAATCTTGCTTCTGCCAGCCTTTAGCACCGGGAGGGACACCGTTGGTACTGCGTGTGGCGAGCCTGCATGCAATGCAGCGACGGCATCGGGAGCAGTTGGTTTTAGAGGGCATCCGGTGCCGAGGAATGGTGCAATAACCTCCGACACAGCAGTGATGATGGCAGACTGTACCTCGGCTTGTACCAGAGCTTGCAACGGGTCCCGAGTTTGTAAGCGATCCGTTGAAATGCCAGGCTCAACTGCCATGAGAACCGGCACAGATCCAATCGTTGCAGTCCACGACCGGGAGGCTTGACGTTTTGGGGCAGGAAAGTACAGGCTCCCCTGTTGTGTAGAGTTGCCTGATGATGGGGAGGCAGAAGCCGGCTGGCTGCATGTGACGGGTCATGACATTTTGTTTTGCCAGTGGCGCTCTCGCAGCACAGAGACGGCGGTGAGAACCGGAAAACGGAATGGCACTTGAAGCGCTAAACGACTGACACCACCGCGGAACGGCACGACACGAAGCTACTGCTGCAACTCAGGCTTGCAATATATGGAGAAATTACCAAAAGGATTCCCGAAAATAATTCAGAAGCCAACCACTTCTGTTGAGCAGGAAGAGCCAGAAAACAACAACTGAACAGTTTGAGCTCTCCAAACTGGTGTGATGCACAGTGTACTAGTATGTTCGATCGTTGAGCGGTAAGTGCGACCCAGAGCCTGGCTGGGACAGGTGCACAGTCCTGCGTACCTCATACCTGCATCATGCTGCACTGAGCAGGGTAAGTGCGACCCAGAGCCTGGCTGGGACAGGTGCACAGTCCTGCGTACCTCATACCTGCATCATGCTGCACTGAGCAGGGTAAGTGCGGCCCAGAGCCTGGCTGGGACAGGTGCACAGTCCTGCGTACCTCATACCTGCATCATGCTGCACTGAGCAGGGTAAGTGCGGCCCAGAGCCTGGCTGGGACAGGTGCACAGTCCTGCGTACCTCATACCTGCATCATGCTGCACTGAGCAGGGTAAGTGCGGCCCAGAGCCTGGCTGGGACAGGTGCACAGTCCTGCGTACCTCATACCTGCATCATGCTGCACTGAGCAGGGTAAGTGCGGCCCAGAGCCTGGCTGGGACAGGTGCACAGTCCTGCGTACCTCATACCTGCATCATGCTGCACTGAGCAGGGTAAGTGCGGCCCAGAGCCTGGCTGGGACAGGTGCACAGTCCTGCGTACCTCATACCTGCATCATGCTGCACTGAGCAGGGTAAGTGCGGCCCAGAGCCTGGCTGGGACAGGTGCACAGTCCTGCGTACCTCATACCTGCATCATGCTGCACTGAGCAGGGTAAGCGCGACCCAGAACCAGGACAAACACACGGCCCTGTGTACCTCATACCTGCATCATGCTGCACTGAGCAGGGTAAGCGCGACCCAGAGCCAGGACAAACACACGGCCCTGTGTACCTCATACCTGCATAATGCTGCACTGAGCAGGGTAAGCGCGACCCAGAGCCAGGACAAACACACGGCCCTATATACCTCATACCTGCATCATGCTGCACTGAGCAGGGTAAGCGCGACCCAGAGCCAGGACAAACACACGGCCCAGTGTACCTCATACCTGCATCATGCTGCACTGAGCAGGGTAAGCGCGACCCAGAGCCAGGACAAACACACGGCCCTGTATACCTTATACTCGCGTGCGGCACGAGGAATGCAGACAGGCGCATCAGGTGGCATGTTGGGTGCCCCAATCAGTGCAGCATGCGTAGACGTGCACGACCAGAGCATGCGACGTACATGACATGTGTACATGCCCAAAGACAGAAGGACATGGCTAAGTATAAGGAACATGAGGAAAGGAGGCAGTGAAAGTCTGTGCATGTGATAAGCGCTAACAAGGGTTAACTGCATTAACCCCACATTAAGTGTTACGTTGTATGTGTATTGTCTGTTGATTTTTAGAGCCGCCATATGCTCCTGCTTCATTTACCTCTACAGTCCCCGATGGCAGCCATCAGCAAACGCAGGGCTTGATCACTTCAACTGCCACTGTCTCTCCTAATCTATATCTAGCATCAGCATCAGCATCACACACAGCACCTGTTCAGGTTACACCCGGCAACAATGGCAATATTCAACAGAGTGAACAAGACATGGACCGGTCTTGTGATGGAGGTGAGGCCTTAATTCTCTGATTATTTTGCTGCTGCCCACACAACACATTGATTTTATTTCTTTTTTTTATGTCGTCGGGTGCACGAGTTGGTAGAGTATGCGACTCTTAACTTGGCCTCAGGGTCGTGGGTTCGAGCCCCACGTTGGCCGCCAATTGTCGTCGAGTGCACGACCTGACGATGGGCTTCTCCGATTCTCTCCCTCTCATACACGTACTCCACAACAGAGAGCAACAGTTTCTTCTTGTTACAACGAGGAAGAGTTCAGGAAGAAGCCAGAGAAGGTGTACAATAGAAATAGTAATACAGTGCATGCACACAGTAGCACAACCCAGGCGCGGTCCCCACGCAGTGGTGAACCCCGAGCACAGCGCAACGCCAAAGGAGACCTCATAGAGGTCACAAGGACAACATTTACGTCAAACACAACCCTACATATATAAAATTTGTTTGAACAGTTGATGAAGACAATTCGAACGCGGCCTTAGCTTATCGGCTAATTTTGTTGTTGTGAACCTTGGAAGGCAAAGTCAGTTTACCAATACCTTCAGTATGTGTCTATCAATGACCAGTGCGCAGTGGACAGATAGTAGGTAGATGCATGGGTGGGTAGGTAGTTAGGTGGGTGGGTAGATAGGTGGGTGGTTAGGTAGGCGGGTGGGTGGGTTGGTGGATAGGTGGGTAGGTGGGTGGGTGGGCAGATAGGTGGGTGGGTGGATGGGTAGATAGGCAGGTGGGTGGATGGGTAGATAGGTGGGTGGTTAGGTAGGCGGGTGGGTGGGTTGGTGGATAGGTGGGTGGGTGGGCAGATAGGTGGGTGGGTGCATGGGTAGATAGGTGGGTGGTTAGGTAGGCGGGTGGGTGGTTAGGTAGGCGGGTGGGTGGATAGGTGGGTAGGTGGGTGGGTGGGCAGATAGGTAGGTGAGTGGGTGGGTAGGTACATGTAGGTAGATAGGCAGGTAGGTAGGTTTTATTGTTTTACTAGGGGACTCCCAACAGGCCAAGGCATTTTACAAGTAACCTAGGAAAAGCCGGATTTGGTCTGTAATACAATCCCGGGAAGAGATACAGCTTGGCGGCATTGGTGGGATACTGTGTTACTCCACCCGAATATTCACAAGTAGTTCACAAGCACACGTGTATACAGGTATACAGGTATTTTATTTATTCCACATCCCATAGCATGTAGTTTCCAATCAAAGAGGAGGGGGTGGAAGCCAACCACGGGTGAGAAACATAAAGAAAATATATTAATAGAAAGAAAAGGTGTATGTGTTCACAGTACACTGCTCTGGTACGGAGACTGGTGTATGTATCACTACGGGATCATGTGTAATAGGGAACAGGAACTGTACGCTGTTCAGCAAGCCTGCTCAGACCAAGACTATACAACTTTGAGTACAAAATGCTACAGGTTCTGAGATTTTATTCTGTTCATTAGCTTCTATATGAAGAGGTGTTTTCTTTGGAAATACCCACACAAATCACTTCGGAGGATTAGCAAGACGAAATTCGCGTTCGCAAACATTTTTCAGTTCGCGAACTGGATTGCAAACTTTCGCATTTTTCGTTTGGAAAAGTAATCGGAACACGAATCGCGGATTGTTGTTGTTGTTGTTGTGTTTATTTTAATTCGCAAACCAAACGGGCAGATCTGCCCAATGAAACGGTGGCGAATGCAGATAGAAAGCAGTAATAAAATTGGGGAGGGATGTGATAAGGATAGAGGTGGAGAAAAACTAAGCCAGCTGATCATGAAACAGGACGTTTGGTACTCTAGGTACTAAGGGTGTGCGGGATTATGCTGGCGCGGAACGGGCGGAGCGTGGAGATGGCACGTATATCGCTGGGTAAGGTGTTCCACAGCTGGGCGCCCCGGAACGCGAGGCAACCCTTGCCGAACCTGGTGCAAACTGGCGGTTGGCGCAGACCCATGGTGGGGTGCAACCTAGTTGGGCCAGCTGACGAAGGAACTAGGAAGGCTTGCAGGTCAGAACTTGCGTGCCCATTCCGAGTCGTGTCAGGGCAGTCATAAATTTACCACGCTGTATACATGTACTGTCTGTACACAATGTACGTCGTGTCCACGTCATGCTATTTCCAGTCAAAAAACATTGGATACGGAGACCACCTGGTTCCAGAGACCACGTTCTCTTGAGCGGTAGACAGGTTAGACAGGTTTCACTGTACATGTACTGGATCTCAGCTGATACAAAACACTCACCAGCTACTAGCCAAGCTGATACAAAACACTCACCAGCTACTAGCCAAGCTGATACAAAACACTCACCAGCTACTAGCCAAGCTGATACAAAACACTCACCAGCTACTAGCCAAGCTGATACAAAACACTCACCAGCTACTAGCCAAGCTGATACAAAACACTCACCAGCTACTAGCCAAGCTGATACAAAACACTCACCAGCTACTAGCCAAGCTGGCAAACCTACACTAGCTGAAGTCCAAAGAGAGCAGGCTGGGAAGAGGAGGGTCGAGCATGCAGCAGCAGCAAGCAAAGAAAGAATAGAGGCCAGCAGGATCGAGCAGCACACTGGGCTGCAGAAAGTAAATACTAGGAAAGAAGCCAGTCAAAAAGCCAATGAGACAACTGAGACAAATTCTCAGATAGTGTATGAGAGATCTGTGGTAATGAAGAGTACAGG